GCCATCATACCGACCCTATAGGACAGAGTAGAACTGCCCCATAGGGTTTCCGAGGAGAGGCTGGTGGATTCAAACTGGTGACTTTTTGGTTAGCAGCTGAGATCTTAACCACTGCGTCACAAGTATCTATAAATGGTCATTGTAAACCTTATAAGGACCTCTTGGGAATCCCTGGGTGGTATAAATGGTTAATGCACTTGGCAGGTAACCAAAAGGCTGGAGGTGCAAATCCACCCAGAGACACATCAGAAGAAAGGTCTAGTGATCTACTTCAGGAAAATAAGCCATTGAAAACCCTATGGAATGCAGTTCTACTCTAACACACACGGGGTCACCATGAGTTGGCATCAACTCGATGGCAACTGGTTAAGGACATCTGTTCTACATATAGAAAGCCTAGCCAGATTTTTGCAAAAATATTAGCACCATCAAGTTTCACTTTAACTGCCAATAAAATGATTATTTATATTCCATAATTGCAAATATTATATAGAAAATATTTTCCAAAACAAGAGACTTTGTTTCTTCCATCTTAAAGAAAAATGTGAAGTAAATGAATGACATTAAAGCCATTATGAAGTTTTTAGTCTAAAAGAATACAATACTTATTTAACCACAGTGTTTCTTTTTAAATCATTTTGTTCCTTGAAATGGTAATAATCCAGGGTAAATATTAATATATTTGAGACATTTTCCTTTATTCCAAAGAAAAGAAGAATATCAGCATAGAATATTGGTTTTGCCTTTCTCTGCATCAACATATTGGGAATGAAAAAGTACATTGTTGATCATCCAGTTTCTTGATTCCTGGTAACAATTCAAGAATAATAATTTATAATTCTTTAAAAACTAACAAATACGATCACAGAGGAAGGAAGAGAGAGGGACAGAGAGATTTTCCCATGCCTGGGCCTGCCATATTCACTCTGAAAAACTAATGAACGAGTTCAATATTCTATCAGTGTACTGTTCCAGAGATAACCAACAAGAGGATAGAAGCAGGAAGGTTTCTATTTGGTGTCTGGAAGCACTGCATATTTCAGAACAGTATACACTGTGATATTTGTGCACACCTATATATGAAACAATTTAAAAAATCAATTTTCTAACCCAGGAATTCACTTTTCAGAAAAATGATAAATCATATGCAAATACAGTAGCATCCAGTGTCATTCAAGAATGCTTTATTCACAGTTCATAAGATAACATCTATCCTTTGCTAGAATATACTTTTAAAGGATGCGAGCACACACACAATTGCTTATGTTTCAGTTTCTATGTCCTGTCTAATAAAAATGAGTGATTAAAACAATAGAAAGTACAGTAAGTTTTCCAAATTTCATTCATTAACAACATACAGTAATTGTGAAAATACACTTGGCTTTGATCTGGCAATCTCTTAATTTGATAGCACATAAGTAAAATATTTAACATTGTTACAAATGAAAATTTGTCTTTTTTAGGGTGGTGTTTATTATCTTTTATTTTATTCATTTTTTCTTCCTAAGTTCACTTATTTTTCATGCTTCTAATTTTCAATTTGTTTCACTAGTTTCTATGCAATACAGTGTCTACAAATATAACAACGTTAGTAGACGTGTCACTAGCTCCAAATGATAAATTTTTCCACAGACACAAAGCTGATCAAGTCACAAAGTGTGTCTCTATTGTAGATTTTTGCATCTGCAAGGAACTGTACATGGAGGGATGTAACAATTACTGACACCAGGTTAGGTCTAATGCATATATTACTACTGTTTATGATATATCAGTATGGTAGGTATTAACATTCACACTATATGAATGTGCAAACTGAAGTTTGGTGAGGTTGAACACTTTTCTAAGCCTATATGCAATTACTAAAAGAAGAATTTAAGATTAAAATCCAAGATGTGACTTTCTTAAAACCTGTATAATTTATCTGATAACTCCCCGATCTTAAAAGTCATTTAGGCCAATTCCCTCACTTGAGAAGTAAGTAAACTGAGGCTCAGGAACAATAAAACGATTTCCCCAATTGCATACAAGCAGGTGATGACAGGGTCAAGGCCAGAGCAGTCCTTTTTTGTTCTACCCTACTATATCGCTTTGGTTTATTTTCAACCGTGCTTGAAAAATGAGATGCTTCTAGCAAACTGATTTCTGGCATTAGGCTCCTTATCTTCTACTATTCCTTGGCTAAATTAAGGTCTTTTGAAAGTTATACCAAATTTTCGAGCCAGAAAAACCTTAATCACTGTGTAACATTGCTTCATAAATATAATCTTATTGGACCTCGAGAATGACCTTTAATGTCTATATTTCTAAGGGAAAATATAGAGAATGATGAAATACTCAATTCTAATTATATTGTCATTGTTAAGTGTCCTTCAGTTGGTTCCAACTCATAGTGACCCTGCGTATAACAGAATGGAACACTGCCCAGTCCTGTGGCATCCTCACTATCCTTGTTATGCTTGAGGCTGTTGTTGTAGCCACTGTGTCAATCCATCCATTGAGGGTCTTCCTCTTTTGCACTGACCCTCTACTTTATGAAGCATGATGTCCTTCTCCAGAGACAGATTCCTCCTGATAACATGTCCAAAGTACATGAGATGGAGTCTCAACATTCTTGCTTCTAAGGATCATTCTGGTTGTACTTCTTCCAAGACAGATTTGGTTGTTCTTCTGGCAGTCTGTAGTATATTCAATATTCTTGGCCAACACCATAATTTAAAGGCATCAATTCTTCCTTATTCCTTGTCTAGCTTTCTCATGCGTATGAGGAGACTGAAAATACCATGGCTTGGATTAGGCACACCTTACTCCTCAAAGTGACATCTTTGCCTTTTAATACTTGAAAGAGGTCTTTTGCTGCAGATTTGCCCAAAGCAATATGCCATTTGATTTCTTGGCTGTTGCTTCCATGGGTGTTGATTGTGGATCCAAGTAAAATGAAATCTTGACAACTTTGATATTTTCTCCATTTATCTTGATGTTGCTTATTGGTCTGGTTGTAAGGATTTTTGTTTTCTTTACATTGAGGTGTAATCCATACAGAAGGCTGTAGTATTTGATCTTCCTCAGTAAGTGCTTCAAGTCTTCTTTGGTTTCAGCAAACAAGGCTGTGATATCTGCATACTGTAGATTCTTAATGAGTTTTCCTCCAGTCCTGATGTTGCATTCTTCTTCATATAGTCCAGTTTCTTGGATTATTTTCTCAGCATACAGATTGAATAAATATGGTGAAAAAATACAACCCCGACACACATCTTTTCTGATTTTAAACCATGCAGAATCCCCTTGTTCTGTTTGAACGATTGCCTCTTGGTCTATGTACAGGTTCCTCATGAGTACAATTAAGTGTTCCAGAATTCTCATTCTTCATAATGTTATAGAGAATTTGTAATGATCCACATAGTTGAACGCACTTGCATAGTCAATAAAACACAGGTAAACATCTTTCCGGTATTCTTTGCTTTCAGCCAAGATCCATCTGACATCAGCAATGATATCCCTCTTTCCATGTCCTTTTCTGAATCCAGTTTGAATTTCTGGCAGTTCCCTATCAATGTACTGCTGCAACCGTTTTTGAATTATCTTCAGCAAAATTTTACTTGTATGTTGTATTAATGATATTTTTAATAATTTCTGCATTCTGTTGGATCACCTTTCTTTGGAATGGGCACAAATGTGAATCTCTTTCAGTCGCTTGGCCAGGTAGCTGTCTTCCCAATTTCTTGGCATAGACTAGAAAGTGAGTGCTTCAATCATTGTATCCGTTTGTTGAAACATCTCAGTTGGTATCCCATCAGTTCCTGGAGCCTTGTTTTTCTCCAATGCCTTCAGTGCAGCTTGGACTTCTTCCTTCAATACCATCGTTTCTTAGTCACATGCTACCTCCGGAAATGGTTGAATGTCGACTCTTTTTGGTACAGTGACTCTGTATTTCTTCCATCTTCTTTTGATGCAGTCTGTGTCATTCAATATTTTGCCCATAGAATTCTTGAGTATTTCAACCCAAGTCTTGAATTTTTCTTCAGTTCCTTCAGAGAAATGCTGAGCGTGTTCTTCTCTTATGGTTTTCTATCTCCGGCTTTTGCACATTTCATTATAATATTTTACTTTGTCTTCTCAGGCCGCCCTTTGAAATCGTCTGTTCAGCCCTTTTAGTTCATCAGTTCTTCCACTTCTTTTAGCTACTCTACATTCGAGAGCAAGTTTCAGGGTCTCTTCTCACATATATTTTGGTATTTTTTTTTCTTTCCTGTCTTTTTAATGGCCTTTTGCTTTCTTTATGTATGATGTCCTTGATGTCATCCCACAACTCGTCCTGTCATTAGTGTTCAGTGTGTCAAATCTGTTCTTCAGATGGTCTCTAAATTCAGGTGGGATAGACTCAAGGTCATACTTTGGCTCTCGTGGACTTCTTTTAATTTTCCTCAGCTTTAACTTGAACTTGCATATGAGCAGTTGATGGTTTATTCCACATTCAGCCCCTGGTCCTATTCTGACTGATGATAATGAGTTTTTCCATCGTCTCTTTCCATAGATGTAGCCAGTATGCTTACTGCGTATTCCATCCATCGAGATCCATATGTATAGTCGCCATTTATGTTTTTGAAATAAAAGTGTTATTCTAATTTTACTGACAGGAAACAATGTCTTTCTTTTTCCCACCTCTTTTATTGTTTTATTCATTCCTATGTTCAATTGCCCTCTCTAGGCTTTGGTAGAGTTATGTACTGGTGAATGTATGTAAAATAGACCTCTTTGTGCACTGATGGAATATCCTTCAACCTTTACAACATTTTAAAATCAAGTGTATTAGAAGTAAGCAAATCCTTCATTTAATTTACCCAAATCTGGTGCAAGAGGATATGGGATTGGTGGGAACTCACTGTGCTGGTCTGGAACATTTCTTCACATTGAGGCTGCTATCCTGTACCCAACATCATGGATGAGACAGTGGAAATTGTGCATGACTAGGTAATGAAGTAGTGAACGTTTGGCTGACTTACCCTCGAATTAACCACTTCCAGGGAGATGTTCTGTGGTGGGGCACTTGGCACTAAAAAGAATAAAACAATTTGGGATGGTTACTGCCAAAGTCATGGAAGAGAAACTCCAACCCTTTTTTGAAAAGAAATAGCGTGTCTTTTCTCGAAGTTTATAATTTAATAATAATCATGTATGTTACTTCAGGTGGCATTTCAAAATTTTCTTGAAGAAGTGAAAAATAGCTACATCTGGTTTTTTGTTTTTTTGTTTTTGTCACTTAGTAGCCAGTTGCCCATCTGGGGAGACTCCAAAACAGGCAAGAGAGCCCCTGACATGATACCAAATATTGCCATTTAATTACAGCTTTCTTGTGATAACCTGCACAGAGAAACCAATAAAAACACAAAGGAGATTTCCTAGAGTGATTTTAAAGCCTTAAGATATTCGTGCATTTAAGGATCTGCCTGGTTTTATGTTGTAATACGTCATTCTAACGGTCACTCATGTTGCTTAATCCCTTCAATGCAATCTTTATTATCTCTTAAAAAGCAAAAAGGAAAAATACTTGGAAATATATCCCAGTTTTCAGGTATACGTAATTAAACCTTTGTGTCATAGATGAAAGCAGGTTACAAAATAGTATTTGCTGAGTCAATTCTATTAACAAAGGAGTAGGTTTTTTCGCCCCCCTCCTTTGTGGATTTAGGTATTTCCTATATCTTACCTACATTCTGATTACTCTACTTCTTCATGGCAGAAGGAAGAACATATATGACTCTCTTTTGAGCACTTGTAATGAATCTTTTACTATATAAAAAAAGTGAATATTCTATCATGTGAGTTATTTACAGACAACTATTCACTGAATGGCTATTATGTGCCAGGGATTATTAGAAATGTCTGGAATGAATCATAAACAAAATAGTTTCCTGCCCCACAATTAGAATAGGAGCAGCATTCAATAAAGACTGAACACATATTAATCTATCAAATGAGTAGCCCCTGTACTTTCCAGGATACATTGTTGAATTTAATAGAAAAGAAATGCTCGCAGGCATTTCCAAGAATTTAAGGGTCATTTTTTTTTATGTTTTCCCTTATTTTCCTCATACTTAGACCATATGCTTATTTTCCTAGGATACTTATATTTACCCCATATTTATCTATGCCCTACTCTGATTTTACTTTCTGAAAAATAGTCACCATGAAGATATGGTATATGTCTGACTCATTTTTATATTTTCAAACTGATAGTCACTTACTATTTACTGACTGAATGGTTGAACGAATAAATTAATACTTACTTAAATATTAGTTCCTAGGCCTTTCTGTGGCTGTTAAGCAAAATGTTGGCAGTTTGAATCCACCAGCCACTCCTGGGAAACCCTGTGGGATAGCTCTACTCTGTCCTACAGGGTCGCTATGAGTCAGAATCGACTCGACGACAACGGGTTTGGTTTGTTTTTGGACCTTTCTGGATGTGATTAGAATGACAATCATTTATTTTGTTTTGATGTTGGACTTCTTGTCTTAGTGCTTGATAATGGTTGTGGCTAATGTAGCTTTGGATCAAATGGTCATATGACATTTCCTTTTCATAAATTACATCAACAGTCTTGTTTTAAAAATTTCATAATTTAGGAAATAGACTAGTATTTAATTTTTTAGTGCATATTATGATTTTCTTATTAAATTCAAAATGCAGTCTCCATGAGAACAGAGATTTTTTTGCCTCATTAGGTGCTATATCCTCAATATCTAGAAGAGTGTCTGGCACATGGTACAGACTCAGTAATATTTGCTGACTGAATGAATGAATACAAAGATTAGAAGACATAATAAAGTTTTGGTCACAAGTTATTTTTTGTTGTAATTTTATTTTTGTAATTGAGGCATACTATGAAGTGCCCAAATCTTAAGAATGTAACTTGATGAAGGTATGTGTGTGTGTATGTTTGTGTGTATTCCTAGTTCACTTCCACTTAGATCAAAATATAGAACATTTTTGTTATTCTGGAAAGCTCACTTGTGTCTCTTCCTAGTTAGTACCCGAAGCAACCACTCTTCTAACGACTCTAACACCATAGATTAGTTTAGCTTGTTCTTGAGCTTTCTACTGTATTACTCAATATTTATCCGTTTCACTGTTGAATGGCTTTTGGATCATTTCCAGCTTGGGGCTGTGTGAATAAATCTGCTAAGAACATACTTCTGCATGTCTTTGGTGGACAACTGCATTCATTTCCCTTCACTATATACCTGGTCAGTTTTCCAAAATGGCTGTACCCATTTACACTCCCATTAACAATGTAGGAATGTTCTGGGCACCATATTTTGGCCAGCATTTGATATTTTCCATACTTTAAATTTTAGTTATTTAGTAGGTGTGTAATGGAACCTCAGTATGGTTTCGATCTGTTTTCCCTGATGACTAGTCATGTTGAAAATCTTTTCACATGATTGCTGGTATTTGGATATCCTTTTTAGGGATGTTATTAAAGAATGATTTTGTTAACAGATCAGTTTCTCCAAAACCCATCTACAAAAATTTTTATTCTTTTCCATCTCATACTCCATATTCATGTTACTATTATTAAAACATCAATTTTCTCTAGAGCTAAAATGAATTAGAAGGGCTGTCCTGCATCTGGCAGTCTTTCCTATCTTCTCAACTCTACAAATGCTATGTTATGAAATGAGTCTTCCTGAACTACCTTTTCACAGACCATTGGATGTTCCAGTCCAGTCTCTAGGAAAGGGAAGATGACAGAGTCTTTAATAAAATAATCTATAAATTCCCTTTCTTTGAAAGAGGAAAGAGATTAGCTGGAAATAACCACAATATATGTGATCTGAAGCACTAAATCAACCAATAACCTTACAATAAGGCAGAATTGGACATGGACCATATTCATAATATTCTATAAAGCACTGAAAATTAAAACAAGTACACACTGAAAATAATATTATGCTGTAGATCATATAATTTCAAAACTTTTGGGAAAAAAATCCTTTAAAAGCAAGGTTTGGAATTGATGTCTTATTATTATTGATTAAGATAATAAATCCTTAAACATGGAAAAATCTAGTTTATACTTAACAAATTATTGTAATACTTACATGCTGTCATGGATTGAATTATGGTCTCCAAAAACTTTGTGTATCAATTTGGCTGGGCTATGATTCCCAGTATTGTGTGGTTGTCCTCCATTTTGTGATTGTAATTTTATGTTAAAGAGGATTAGGGTGGGATTATATAACACCATTACTAAGGTCATATCCCTAATCCAATGTAAAGGGAGTTTCCCTAGCATGTGGCCTGCATCACCTTTTATCTTACAAGAGATAAAAGGAAAGGGAAGCAAGCAGAGAATGGGGGAACTCATACCACCAAGAAAGCAGTACCAGGAGCAGAGTGTGTCCTTTGGACTTGGGGTTCCTGGGCAGAGAAGTTCCTAGTCCAGGGGAAGATTGATGACAAGGGCCTTCCTCCAGAGCCGACAGAGAGAGAAAGACTTCACCACAGCTGACGCCCTGAAATTAGACTTCTAGCCTGCTAGACTATGAGAAAATAAATTTCTCTTTGTGAAAGCCATCCACTTGCGGTATTTCTGTTATAGCAGCACTAGATGACTAAGACACATGCCATATCATATTTTGATAATCATATCACACACACTTTTAGCCAACTAAATAATATCAAAACAAAATTTCCATAATACTAACCTAATTTATGATAGGTGATTGAATTTTGAAGGAAAAAAGAAGATAAATTAGATTTATAATGTTTTATTCTAGGTACTGTCATTAGTGTTCAACGTGTCAAATCTATTCTTGAGATGGTCTCTAAATTCAGGTGGGATATACTCAGGGACATACTTTGCATCTCATAGACTTGTTCTAATTTTCTTCAGTTTCAAGTTGAACTTGCCTATGAGCAACTGATGGTCTGTTCTACAGTCGGCCCCTGGCCTTGTTCTGACTGATGGTATTGAGCTTTTCTATCGTCTCTTTCCACTGATGTAGTTGATTTGATTCCTTTGTATTCAATCTGGCAAGGTTCACATGTAGAGTCTCAAGAATAGATTTGACATGTTGAACACTAATGATCGAAGACCAGACGAGTTGTGGAATGACATCAAGGACATGATAGATGAAGAAGGCAAGAGGTCATTAAAAAGACAGGAAAGAAAAGACCAAAATGGATGTCAGAAGAAACTCTGAAACTTGCTCTTGAACGTCAAGTAGCTAAAGCAAAAGGAAGAAATGATGAAGTACAAGAACTGAACAGAAGATTTCAAATGGCAGCTCAAGAAGGCAAAGAAAATTATTATAATGACATGTGCAAAGAGCTGGAGATAGAAAATCAAAAGGGAAGAACGCGCTAGGCATTTCTCCAGATGAAAGAACTGAAGAAAAAATTCAAGCCTCGAGTTGCAATGGTGAAGGATTCTATGGGGAAAATATTAAACAACACAGGAAACATCAAAAGAAGATGGAAGGAATACACAGAATCATCATACCAAAAAGAATTGGTCGACATTCAACCATTTCAGGAGGTAGCATATGATCAGGAACCAATGGTACTGAAGGAAGAAGTCCAAGCTGCACTGAAGGCATTGGAGAAAAACAAGGCTCTGGGAATTGATGGAATACCAGTTGAGGTGTTTCTACAAACAAAGGCAGCGCTGAAAGTGCTCACACGTCTATGCCAAGAAATTTGGGAGACAGCTGCCTGGCCAACCAACTGGAAGAGACCCATATTTATGCCTATTCCCAAGAAAAGTGATCCAACTGAATGTGGAAATTATTGAACAATATTATTAAAATCACAAGCAAGTAAAATTTTGCTGAAGATCATTCAAAACGGCTGCAGCAGTATATCGACAGTGAACTGCCACAAATTCACGCCAGATTCAGAAGAAGATGTGGAACCAGGGATATCATTGCTGATGTCAGGTAGATCCTGGCTGAAAGCAGAGAATACCAAAAAGATGTCTACCTGTGTTTTATTGACCATGCAAAGGCATTCAACTGTGTAGATCATAACAAATTATGGATAACATTGTGAAGAATAGGGATTCCAGAACACTTAATTGTGCTCATGGGGAAACTGTACATAGACCAAGAGGCAGTTGTTTGAACAAACCAAGGGGATACTATGTGATTTAAAGTCAGGAAAGGTGTACATCAGGGTGTATCCTTTCACCATACCTATTCAATCTGTATGCTCAGCAAATAATCTGAGAAGCTGGACTATATGAAGAAGAATGGGACATCAGGATTGGAGGAAGACTCATTAACAACCTGTGTTATGCAGATAACACAACCTTGCTTGCTGAAAGCGAAGAGGATTTAAAGCACTTACTGATGAAGATCAAAGACCACAGCCTTCAGTATGGATTATACCTTAACATAAAGAAAACAAAAATCCTCACAACTGGACCAATAAACAACATCATGATAAACGGAGAAAAAATTGAAGTTGTCAAGGGTTTCATTTTACTTGGATCCACAATCAACACCCATGAAAGCAGCAGTCAAGAAATCAAAAGATGCATTGCATTGGACAAATCTGCTGCAAATGACTTCTTTAAAGTATTGAAAAGCAAAGATGTCACCTTGAAGACTAAGGTGTGCCTGACTCAAGCCATTGTATTTTCAATCACGTCATATGCATGCAAAATCTGGACAATGAATAAGGAAGACTGAAGAAGAATTGACACCTTTGAATTGTGGTGTTGGCAAAGAATGTTGAATATATCATAGATTTCCAAAAGAACTAACAAATCTGTCTTGGAAGAAGTACAACCAGAATGCTCCTTAGAAGCAAGGATGGCAAGACGCAAGACTACAGCTTACATACTTTGGACTTGTTATCAGAAGGGATCAGTCTCTGGAGAAGGGCATCATGCTTGGTAAAGTAGAGGGTCAGCAAAAAAGAGAAAGACCCTCAATGAGATATATTGACATAGTAGCTTCAACAATGGGCTCAAGCGTAACAACGATTGTGAGGATGGCACAGGACTAGACAGTGTTTCGTTCTTAGTACATAAGGTCACTATGAGTCGGAACTGACTTGAGGACACCTAACAACAACAACATTCTAGGTACTATGCTAGGTTTTATGTAATCTTCAATGTCACTGGAATTTAAATTTATAAATGGTATTTAACTTCTCATTTCCAGAAAGTCAAGATTATACTAGATACCAAAAAAATGTAAATGTTCTTCTTTTTGTAACTACACAATTTTTAAAGCAAGAGGGATATTTTCTGCATTAGGAATCAAAAGCCAATACAATAAAATTCTAAAGATTCTTATAATGAAGTGTTTACATATTTTTCTATCTATTTGTAATACAAATTTCTCTTTCTTTCCACTGGCTATTCTAGTCTTATGCATAGTCGGGAAGGAAAAGTAGAGAATTTTTCTACAGAATTTTTAGTTACCCATCCCTACTCCTTTCTTCTCACTACCAATTTCTATATTATTTAGAGGAAAATGGATACAACAGGGAAGACTAGATGCTTGGTGGAAGGGAGGGGAATCCACATCTATCTTGGCTTTTCTGTATTTGTCATCCCAAGATGTCTCATTGTCTCAAGAGGCAGAGGGGAAGGATGTAGTTCATTGCTTTTCTCTTCAAAATGTCAAGTAATTTATCATTTACAATAGGTTCATTAAAGCCAGTCAGGGGTGTTTGGTCTGGAAACTCCCCTCAATATAGTGGAGCCTGCTGATTTGAAACACACGGTGATGAGACATTTTGTCCGACAGACCAAGCTCCCCGTACATTTGTAAATGAATCCCCGTACTTATAGGCACCTGAATTCGTCCCCTTAGCAAATGTGTGTTGTCATGTATACACAACTTGTGGATCAAAATAATTAATATTGAATTACAAGCTTTTTTGCTTACAGAAGAAATATAGGGCATTTATTATAGAATAAGAGAAACTCAGTATGCTTTCACATTAAATCCCATCCCTCTATTTACTAGCTTACGTGAACTACCTCTGCTGCTTACTACCTTTTGTGACCTCTTTCTAACTCCATTGTGTCATCTGTAAAATGGGGAAAAATAAAGTGTTGGGAGGATAAAAGATTAATAATGTCAAATGTTTAGAGCAGAGTTGTGCTAGTTAAGTACTCAATAAATATTAGTGATATCAGTAAGAAGCACATTCTTATAGACATGTTTGCCTGTGAAATTGGGCCCCACTGTTTTTGGGCACAAGGCAAGATGGAATGGATATTCATGATTGTTAATTCATTGATAAACGCTGCAAATGCAACTCCTCACCTACACGTGTTAACCAGTTCAAGAGACAGTGTTTTGGAACAAACTAGCAAACTAATTAAGTTATATACTAAGTATTAGACTTCCTAGATCTTAGACTCTAAATTTCCAGTGCTTTAAAGTAGTGGTCCTCTATCGACCAATGGTAAGGAAATAAATAAAATACAATGTTTCTACCCAGAAAAAAATTTAAGCAGAGGTACATTAGAGATGACAGGTCATCTGGGTAAAAATCTTTGCAAGCATCTTAACACAACAGGGAGAAAGAAGCCATTGGAATAAATAAGTCAAAAAAAAAAATGTATTTGTGTTTCATTTTTATTCAGTTTTCCTCTGGCCCCAGCATAAATTTTTATGATAAGAATTACTCTGACATAATAAGAAATCTAATGTTCTCTACAACACAGATTCTTTTAGATATAGGCGTATATTAAATTAGTCCCACAAATGGGACAAATGGGACCTAAAGATACTATACACACAAACATTTTTATAGTTTTGGCTGAACTGTCTGATTAATTCAATAAATATTTAGTGAGTTAGGAGGAATACAAAGACAAAGATAACATCATCCCTTATATTAAGGAGCTTGTGACCAATTGCTAGAAAAGGATATACTGTTTGGTGAAACAGAGGGTCAGTGAAAATGAGGGAAACCCTGAATGAGATGGACTGACAATTTAGCCACAACAATGGACTCAAACATACCAACAAGCATGAAGATGGCACGGGTCTGGGTACAAGGTTCTGTTTTGTTCTGTGACACATAGGGTCGCCATGAGTTGGAGCCTACTTGATGACAACTGACAACAACAACAAAAAGTGTAATGGGAAAAAGAGAAGAGCATATTGGCATAGATAACATTTATTAAACACTGAAATATATGCCATGCACTTTTTTAGGTGCTTACATGGATTAGCACATTTAATTTTCACAATATTCTCCTTTTAACATCCAAAACGTCTGAGGAGAAGAAGGCTTCATGACTGAGGGATGGGAAGAATATGACTATTAAATGTGATTAAAAACACCTAAATGTCATTGTGACCTCAGCATGAACAGCCTCAGTAGAGAGAAGACATCAGATTGAAGTAGATAGAAGGGGTCTGGATAATAAAGGAGTGGAAATCAAGAATGTGGGAGTTCTTATCATTGAGAATTACAAGAGATGAGCTGATAGTGAAGGCAGAAGCAGATGAGGTCAGGGTGCCCACAGTGAAGGGGCCACGAAGTCCCTGCTTTCTCCTATCAAAGGCGTCTGATCACTTTGCACAGCAATGCTTATTGGGGTTACGGTCATGAAATCCTTTTATTTAGTGACAGGCGTTTTCTAAATCCTAAACGTTGTAACACTTTCAAAGGATAATTCTTGGGCTAATGAGTAATAATGGGTCTTTCTCACTTATGACATTTAAAACTGAAGTGAGAATGGGGCCACAGTATTACAGTTCAGAGTGTGAATCAAATCTACATAAATTATGTAAATTATTCATTTTCATTTGTTTTTCTTTTATTTTTTTAATTATAAGTTGCGAATTAATTTATTCTGCCAATAAATACTCCTTTCTGTCTTCAATAACAGAATTGGATGGATGAGCATAAGAACTGCACTAAAAAAGATATTGAAGTGGTATCACATATGAAACACATTTTTTTCTAAGTTGAAACTGCAAATGAGCATTACTTTCACATCTTGTTTTTGCTGGGCTTAGTAACATGCATCGTCTTCTTTGTCCCATTGAAAATTGTATGGAATATCCATCCATACATTCCTAGATTAAAGAATGATGGATCAGCCAGGGAATCAAAGCTAAAAGTAATTTTCTCTTAATTTAAATGATCAATAATTTATAGAATTACACAGACCAGTATGGGAACTATTGCTGAAAAAAGATGGCTTGTTATCTTTTTAATATTCATGGGGGTCATGTCTGTATTTCTGTACCTGCCTGAGTTCTCACTGTGACCACATAATAGATTCCACTGTACTTTATTTTCACTTTTTATTAGATTTCCCAACATTTCATTATTGCCTACTCCTTAGCTCTCTAATTTCCCCTTTATTAAATCTATAGTCTTCATTCCAAGTTCTTTCTCTCTTTTACGGCATTTAAGAAAACGTGTCTAATCTCTCATTTCTTTGGCAATGAGCAACTGAAGGTATACATTTTCATATCTCAGTTTTAATACTTCTAATGCTGAATTCTTTATGATATATTTTAAATTAAGCTGTATATATAGGGGGATTGTGAGTTTACAATGTTAATAGTCTCTCCCCATGAGAAAAGGTGCAAGAAGAAACTTGCCAATACAAATTTGTTCACAGACCTGCATAAATGTGTGTGTGTGTGTTTATTAGTGTATGTATAGAAATAAAATAAAAAAAACAGACAATTTAATCTGAGCTCTTAGGGAGTCCTCATACTTTGGGGATCCCCAACTAGTACATCCTTGACTCAGATTATATACCTTGAAAGTTTAAATTTGAATATAGTAATGTGAGTGAATTAGCCCGATTTCTGTTTTATGCTAATAGATCTTCTTGAAAATTTCAGTCAGAGAGCCCTGAAAATGGAATGTTGACATATATACAATATTCTTTTTTATTATACCAAATATTTAAATGAAGTTTCACTGTCATTAACTTACCATCAGAGAGGGTAACCACTGTTATATCATCAGTAGATACTCCTGGCCCATAGCGATTGTAAGCTAGGAATCGAAGATTATATTCCGTGAATTTTTTCAGGCCTTCCAGTTTATAAGATAGTCCATCAACCTCTATATTCTGGAGACATAAAAAGCCCAAACTGTTATTAAGGAGGCACATTAAAGCAGAAATGGCATTCTGTGTAATCAGCAGATGGGATATTAGACTCTTACTGACAAAACTACACGCTTGCCTTACAATGAGCTGCTGTAAAACCTAACCCGTGACAAAGACTCCCCTACTAAAGCCCCAAATCCTCTGCAGACTCCTTGTTAAAACAGCAGCATGCTATTTTTACAGTCATTAAGCTCCAATTTGTTTAACAGTACGTGATACATTGAGCAGTGTGGGTTATTCTGCCCATACAGATAACCTGGCAGGTAGAGAGCAGCTTGCAAAGTCCATAGGAACAGAGAATTGCTCGTGTAGCCCAAATGGAATAATTTGCCAAGAAACAATAACTTTCTTCCTTCCTCTGACGAAATATACCCATGGTTCTTGAAATTGACAGATACTTTGCCACAATTTTTATCTCCCAAAATGCTGGGAGGTAGGTTTGAACTGTTTTCACCACTTTAAAGCTGCAGAAAATGAGGTACTGGAGGTCAAGGTCACTGAGGAAATCATAGCCAATTCGCTCTAGAAGACCCATTATTTAGCCCTGCATGGTGATCCACACACACATCTCCATCTCGACTGATTCCATTTTTGAATTTATTTAAAGCATTTGGTAAAAAAGCATTACTGAAGAACTAAAATATATAGAAAAGTAGATAGCATGAAAAGGTGAAAAACAAGAGCTAAAATAGCATGGGGACAGCAAAAAAAAAAATTAAAAAAAAGAGATTATATAGGAGAAGCTCTTAGTAATGCTCATTTTACGACATAGGTTGGGATTTGAATTATGTCTGAATAGAACTGTTGCAAAACACATCTTAAAATAAAAAATCCAAATCGTTCAGATTTGCATGTATATTACACTATGCTTGTCAATCTTCACAACACATAGTAATAACCCAGATATACCGAGGTCGTGTCTCTGTCTTTCCACTTGAATTACAAACCTGCCTATTTATTTTTACCCTACACAAAGTTGAGAATCTGGAAGTAAGACATCTCAACAGTCATATACATGTCACCGAAGAGAACTGCTGAGTTTCATGTGCCTCACTAAAGACTTCTTCACTCTTACTTTACCTGAAATTCTAATTCCAGCTGTCTAACTGCAGATTAGAGGCAATGTATAAGTAGGAGGAGGGCAGGCTTTTACAGGAAGGTGAACTGAAAACAATGAAAAGTGATAAATGATAGCCTGGCAGTGAAGTCTTTGGATGGTGCAAACAGTCAATGTGCTCAGCTGCTAACTGAACATTGGAGGTTCAAGTCCATCCAGACATGCCTCAGAAGAAAGGCCTGGTGTAATATACTTCCAAAAGATTACAGCCATTGAAAATCCAACGGAGCACAGTTCTACTCTGACACACATAGGGTCACCATAAGTCAGAATCAACTTGATGGCAACTGGTTGGATGACAGGGAGAGGACAGGAATAACATAAAATATATCAGAATGAGAAAAATGGTTTGGCTGAGGCCATTAAGTACAGGGGCAATAATCCTTTAGGATAAAGATGAAAATGCCAATGACTTCTGGTTCCAGGCCAGTTTATACAAATGTGGATATGCTGGCCCAGGACATTGCATTCTTAAACCGAACATTGGCATCCTTTATTTTGACTCCATTTCATTGCCCATTTGCCTTGCTTGACACCAGAATTCAATTAAATTACTTAAAGTTTCCAGTAACAAGTGTTTTAAAACTAATCAGCTATCCAATTAATCTGCTGAATACTGGACTGAATCAAGCACTTGCAGGTTTTCTGCTGTTTCTTAGCCCCTTAGCCCTCGAGCCATCCACTTGAGGTAAGCAGTATGGCCCAATCTCTTGCCTACCTGTTCTTTTCCTGTGGCGGCCTCAGTACAGAACAATCTGTAACCTTGGACTGGCCCATTTGCATAGGCAGGGGGTTCCCAGGTAATAAGAATTGAGGTAGGTGAGGTAGATACAGCTTGCAGGTTTTCTACTGGCCCTGGAACTTGCACTGTAATAAAAAGAAATTGATTAATATAAGAGGATTCCCTTTCTCAAAACAAGCAGAATGACACCTTTTAGAGTTCTTGGAAATTACATATAGCAGCATCTACTATTTTTTAGAACCACATGGGATAAGAACATAAAACACAATAGAATTTTAGAATTTATTTCATTTTAAAATTCAAAAGAGATCTTATATTAATCTAAATTATTTATTTTATTTTACAGCTAAGGAAACTGGCCAAAGAGTTTAAGTGACTAACATAATGGCAGAGAAAGAATGGAATTCTTAATCTAAATACTTAGTCTAGAAAATTTTCCACTATACCAGTGTGTCTTTGTCTGTGTATTGCTAATAACTGCAGAAAGCAATGAGAATATATGTTTAGAACACTTGTATATTATAGTTCTATTTATAATCCAAATAGGCAGGATAGCTATGAGCAATTTACCATATTGTCTTTATTTAAGTCAGCATTTTAAAATCTTGCCCAATCCTGGGTCCTTTAAATGAAGTTCAAGATTTCATTTTCCATTTCATTTTCTAGTATTCCATTTTCTTTCATAAGTATTTCTTTACTTAATCAAGCTTGCTTGTTAATGAAATTTGTTAACACAGTTCCACAATTGCTTAACCAAAATACTTGTGGCCAGATGTGTTTCAAGATTCAGAAATTTTCAGATTACAGAAAGGTAATGTGGTGCACAGGCAGTGTCTTATGTAACTCCTTAGTGGGACCTGCCACAGCATCCAGTTATCAAATGCAATTATATATTTGCAGCAAATTATATGAATATTTACATCAAGTGGAATTATTAAAGATTATAAATAGTCTCCACCACTTATCTGTCAGTTTGCCATATTGTGGTGACTTGTGTGTTGCTGTGATGCTGGATGCTATCCCACCGGTACTTCAAATACCAGCAGGGCCACCCATGGTGAACAGGTTTCAGTGAGGCTTCTAGACTAAGACAGACCAGGAAGAAAGGCTTGGCAATCTACTTTCAAAAACTGACCAATGAAAACCTTATGGCTCACAAGAGAATATTGTCCAATACAGTGCTGGAAGATGAGCTCCCTAGTCTAGAAGAGACTCAAAATACACAATAGCCAAAATAACGGACTTAAACATAGCAAAGATCAGGATGATGGCACAGGATTGGGCAGTGTTTCCATCTGTTATACACAGGGTCACCATGAGTTGGCGCCTACTTGATGGCACCTAACAATAACACAAACAGCCTTCCGTAAGGTCAGGTTAGGTTTGGCTGCCAAATGAGTTAGGAAAAACCTCCAGTTTTCAGTATTTGGAGATTTTGATTTTGTGCATGAAACTATGCACCTGAATATAAATATATGTTTTGTAAATGTAAATGTAATTCTCATGCTAGTTATTGTTACCTAAAATAAACAGTCTCACCAATGCAAGTATAACTACAATCTTAAGTTACAAACGCTGTGTACTTCCCCCAGCCTTGGATACCACCTACATTTGGACAGATATACATTCTAGGCCCCTAATATAATTCTTTAAGTTTGAACTTCCATAATAAAAACAGCATATAAGAAACTGGCTGATGTGATATCTGAATGGTACATCTCTTAGATCACCATTGAAACCAGTAGTGTGTCTCTAGATATTTTTCAGAATTTGTTCCATGGAACATAGGCTCCTTACAGCATCACTGCTCACACATTTATTTGGAAAAAAGTATTTTCATGTCAGAAACATATTTTATGCCACCTACACATATTTTCCCATTAACCCCAAAATCTTGAGAATGCTTGTTCTTGACAATTACATTTTTTCACCTTAACAAGTGTTCTTTTTTTTTTAATTAAGGAAAAAAGAAAACTTTTTACTTGGAGATAATTTCAAAACTGCAGAAAAAAATTTAGAAATAAGAATAGTTCATATAACACTCATATACATTTTACCCAGATTTACTCATTGTTTTCACTCTGCTCCATGTATTTTATCATTTCTATCTGTTTCTCCATTTCCCTTCTCTCTCTCTTGCTCTCTCTCTCTATATATGCCAGCACTTCTCCCATATTTATCAATTGACATTTATATTCTACCAGAAGCAAGAGCCCATTTTTCTCTCTCTCTTTATTTACCTGTATGGACACATGGATTCCCAATTTTTATGGTCTATAATTCATTACTGTTCTTACTTTATTTGGTGTGCAAATTGTCCCAGAATTGACCATTGACAACTTCTTCAAGCTGGTTGCTCCGTCCTTGTGACATGGCCTATCATTTTTATAACACTTTCTTTCTTGTGTGATAAAGTATGCCAGGATCATCTTGATCCTGCCCAGCTCTGGAATCAGACATTTCTCAAAGGAATCGTATTACAGGTCAGATTTAGGTGCTAGGTGTGTTCATTGCTACTTGAGTATCTCTGCTTCTAGGTCCTTCAAGCTAACAGAGCTAAGATGCATATGCACGTATAGGCACATATAATACACATATGCATATTTTTCATGACTCCAGAGTGATGTCTTCCTTTTCAGTCAATTTCTATAAGATTCTCTCTTGCCTTTACCCCATTCCTCTTTTGTCTGTTATTTCTTCCGATTTGCGAATTGTGGCTCCCAAACAGTTGTATTTTGACAGTAGACACTTAATGAGAGGCAACAACCTCAGTACTCTCTCAGGAATAGGCCATTTTTCTATGAAGAAACCCTTGTTCCACAAAGGGTACATTAGGAAACAATATTGAACAACTGAGCGTCTTGTCTTAAGTCACAGTTTTCAGTGACACGTTTAGAATGGCATTATAATGAAGCAGCTGTTTTGCTTCATGGGGGGAAGAATACAAAAATAAATAAATAACCTGCCCATTGGTATTGTTTAGCTGGACTGTTACAGTACAATATTTTCCCAAATAGTAATAAAAAACACAAAGAAATAATTTGTATGCTTCTATGATTACTGACACAAGGATAATTACATTCACAAAGACAATGCAAACATTTAAACATGGGGCATTTCTGATTTGGAATCCATTATTTTCTAAGGAAAGGAGACAGAGAAAGAAGATAGGGTATTGAGATGGAGTGAGCTGCTTAAGATATATGTTGAAGGTGAGACAGCCAAGGTTCTGCTAGTTAACAGTGCAAATACATGTGACCCAGTGATGTGTGAAGTATTAATGGGAAGCATTCCTTCTTGGTCTCTGGTGGTTAAATTGAAAGGACATTGCAGTGAACATGGCTCAAGTCTGAGAGCACAGGCTCAGAATTAAAACAACCAAATTCAAAGGGCATTGTTCCTGTTGTGAGATGTGACACATTTACAAATGTGGAAGAGCTAATGTTGTGGTTTCCCAGGGGAAAACTACTCTGACTGGGAGGCAGGTGGGTGTCTGGGAGAGGGGAAGAGTAGGCAGTTTGGGGGAAGTTTCTGCTCCTCTGTACTGTTAATGTACAATGGAGTGATGGGAAACAGAAATCCAATTGACTCAAATTTTGGGGGAGCAAAATAGAAGAAAATAAACTTGCACCTCACTTGACCCATTACATTCAAAATAGGTGGCAACTTTGCCGAGAAGGCAGGGGTATGCGGAGTACCATGTTGCTCTCAGAATTTCCTGAAGCCCCAAGTATGGCATAGAAGAAAACCCATAAATGACCCATGCACCCAGAGGGAGCTACATAAGAATTAGGAAGAGCAAGGTAAGAGGGCCACCTAGCAAGGCAGGGGACATGCATGGGAGCTGTTCACAGCCTGTCTAGAGCAAAAGAGAGTGTGGTGGCTACGCCTCTCTGGGGATCATTCAGGCTTGGAAACTGCGTAAGAATCAGATATGTCAACAGCACAGCCACTCCCATCAGGGATGTGGGAAGAACAGACTATAACTCAAGGCAGCCCCAGGAGCCACAAGCGTACACATCAGGCCACACCCCTCCGCTGCTGAGCCCAGCTATTGCTGCTAGTGTCCTGGCTCTGAGAAGGGGGAGGATGGTCAGATCACATCCAATGTTTCCAGAACAACAAAATAACAATAACTTTTGCACAGGGATATGTATGATTTTTGGTATATAAAAGTTATTTAATATGTGTATGACATGAATGATTTATATACAGTTACCAAATATTATAGTAAATCACAAGCCTGACAATATGTAGCCTATTTCATTTGATTTTGTTGATTGAGTGTTGTTACTACAAGTGATCAGAAAATGGTGTTTTCCTAACATACCTCATAGAGCTACAGTTGGTATATGTGTCTGTAGGTATTGTATGCATGTGAGCCTGTATGCATTTTGCCTTCCTTGCAATTTCTTTACATATATGTAGCTTAACTGTTATTGATGAAAGAAGACCAGGCAGTAAGTCTCATTAATTTGGACTTGATTTATACAGGTAGCGCCAGCTTCAATGCTGTTCACCGACTTCATTCCTCTGTCTTCCTAATGGCCATCATCTGTCAGTTTCTTGTACTGTCGTGGCTTGCATGTTGCTGTGATACTGGAAGCTATGCCACCAGTATTTTAAATACGTGTAAGGTCACCCATGGTGGACAGATTTTAGTAGAGCTTACAGACAAAGACAGATTAGGAAGAAAGAACTAGGGATCTACTTCTGAAAATTAACCAGTGAAAATCCTATGGATCACAACAGAATATTGTTCAATATAGTTCTGAAAGTGAGCCTCCTAGGTTGGAAGTCACTCAAAATACCCAGTGGCCACAACAATCAACTCTAGCATACCAGTGATCATGAGGATGTCTCAGGACCAGACATAATTTCATTCAGTTGTGTATGGGGTCATCGTGAGTCAGAGAAAACTCAGTAGCAACTAACAACAACAACAATAGCCATTAGACACTATTAGGGAAAAACATGTTTTGTCGTTTCAGAAGAATTTCAAGCAGAGATAATAGACAGTAGAATTGGAAAGGATCATTCAGAGCCTCTAGTTCAAGGATTCACTAATAACAGTCTCTGTTTTCACCAATTTCTAGCCAAATGAAAACATTCTTTTTATGTGGTT